GCCCTTTCCCTTTGTACCAGGGATTATTACTCTACCTTCCCCACAGCCATCCAAGGTGGCCCAAGTAGAGGAAGTACCACTGCCACCCAGGCCACCAATCATTGTGCCTCTATGGAAACTATACAAACCACTTGATCTAAAATGCTGAAGGCCCTCCTCAAAGATCTCTCTCACCAGCCCTCAGGACCTCAAGCCAGTTGCCTAATGCTGGAAGCCTGGTAGCCAGCATGGTGATCCATAACCCATTGGAAAGGTATGTGAATAGACATTAGGATTTAGGAATTTCCTGTTCCCATCCTCATCAACACTCTTCGGGGGATGTGCTCGTTCATAGCAAAGTGACCTCTTGGGCACTGTGTAACTGCTCATTGGTACTGGATATATTCAGGTGTTTAGTTGAGTTCCACTCATTCTTGTATGCCTTCCTGGAGTTTTGTAAGGACTCCACTATGGTAGAATACTGTTAGCCTACTCAGACCTGCCAATCTGGTATCTCTACATTGCCCTCAGCTAGTTAACCTACCCCCAACCTGAGCACATGGAGGGGCTGACAATGGGTGAGCAACTGAATCTTTGTATAACCCTTATAGACTTCAATCTCTTCAACTGCTAGGTCTGCTATTCTATCCTGAAGTTGGGGGGGAAGGGGACCCAGCTCAGGATCCTCCGTGTAGCTGAGGCCCCCAACATCACCCACATACAGTAAAAGGATGAACCAGGACAAAGATTCCTCCTCAGTGGGCAAGCAGGAAGTCCAGGTGATTCTCATGTATCCCATCCCTCTAGCTCTACCCTACAAACCCTGGACTCTGATATACCCCAACCCAACTCCACAGAAACCTATGTCCAGTTCTTTACTGCTACTTCAATAATTGTAATTCAATAATTGAGTCTAAAAGGACCACATCATCATTTTGCCCACCAACTACAGTAACACAGAGTCCTGGGACTCCTGGGAAACTGAACCTAAGTGGATTGGTACCTTTCACCTGACTGCTCCTGTAGGCAGCTGGTGAACTTCTGATACCCCAAATTCTCTACTATTGCTTTCCCATTCTATAGTACCCTATTTAGGTGATATTATCTTATGTCAGTTGAACTGAACTTGGTCCTCATTTTCCACCATGCTACCCTTCACCTGTGCTCCCTGCCTGCTTTGGCAACTCCAATAGGGTTTTGTAACAGTATGAGGTATCAGTGTGGCCACTGTAGCCATAGGCATGAGGTTAGGTCAATACAATACAAACATTCACCTCAAGAAGGCCCAGAAAGCAATGGCGTGCTTACTATCAGCCCAAATTAGACACTGCCAAAAGCCTGGATACTGTCACTGAAAGTCAGTGCACCCTTACTGCCGTGGTCATGGACCATCACAGTGCCCAGGACTTCCTGCTTGCCCACTGAGGAGGAATCTTTGTCCTGGTCCATACCTTCTACTGTATGTGGATTTGTCCCATAAGGCCAAGAAACCGCCCAAGGTATATAGCCAGTGCTAGGGGAATGGGGAAAAGATCTGAAACATTTCCACCACCACTTTTGGCTAAATCAATAATTTATTCATTTGGTTCTCCCCTAGGAAAATGGGGAAATTGGCCCAAAGAGATCAAACAAATGGGAAAAGGACCCACATGTACAAAAATATTCATAGCAGCTCTTTTTCTGGTGGCAAAGAATTGGAAATGGCAATGATACCCATCAATTGCAGAATGGCTGAGCAAGTTGTGGTATATGAATGTAATGGAATACTATTGTGCTATAAGAAATGATGAACAGGCTGACTTCAGAAAAACCTGGAAAGACCTATATGGTCTGATGCTGAGTGAAGTGAGTAGAACCAAGAGGATTTTGTACACAATAACAGCCACATTATGCGATGACTAATATTGTTAAACTGAACCCTTCCCAGCATTACAAGTATCTAAGACATCTCCAGAGGCCTCGGGATGGAAAATGCTGTCCACATCCAAAGAAAGAACTATGGAAGTCGAATCGCTATCACTTATTTTTACCTTCTGTTGAGTTTTGTTTCATCTTTCTGATGGTTCCTCCTATTGGTTTTAATTTTTACTTACAACTTCACTAATGTGAAAATATGTTTAATAGGAATGTAAATGTAAAACCTATATCAGATTGTGCGCCGTCTTGGGGAGGGTGGGGGGGAGGAAGGGGAAGAAAAATTTTCAACTCAAAAGCATATGGAAGTGATTGTTGATAAATCAATAAATTAATAAAATTGGGGGGGAAAGAAAGAAAATGGAGAAATTGGCCATGAGGAGGCTTTGAAATCCTCTACCTGTGAATTTTTCAATTATACTTTTTTAAAGTTAAGTAGCAATGGCCCAACCACGAACAGGCCAACTCTACTGGTTGCAAAGTATTTTTGAGGTGATCAAAGGATTGGGAGTGGATTGTAATGTATGGAACTCTTATGTGATCCTTTGATAACAGCATCCTATGAATTGTGTATGCTCCCAAAGATGTAGCTGACTTCCAGACTCCCTTGTATTTCCCCTTTTATCCTATCTCTGGTCTGCCTGTTCTTGTAGTGACTGAGGAACATGCTCTACTCCTCATTATGTTCTTCTAGGAGGCTCTGGTAAGCCCCTCTGGTGGCCAGCAACAGTGTCAACAATTTAACCTTGTTTAGTCCCTTATGATTTCTCATTCATGTTTACTTTTTTATGTTTTCTTTATTCCTATGTTTGTATGTCAAATATTCAACTCAGTTCTAGTCTTCATATCAGGAATACTTAGAAGCTCTCTATTTCATTAAAAATCTATCTTTCCCCTGGTGGATTCTACTCAGTTTTGCTGGGTAAGCCTAGATCTTCTGCCTTCTAGAATATCATTCCATGCTCTTCACTCCTTTATAGTAGTGGTGGCCAAATCTTGTGGAACCTGATTGTGGCTCCTGAATCTTAGAATTCTTTCTTTCTGGATACTTGAAGTATGTTTTCCTTGACCTGAATTTTAAATCTCTGAATTTTGGCTATAATATTCCTTAGAGGGTTTCTTTTGGGGATTTCTTTCAGGGGGTGATGGAGATTCTTTCACTTTCTACTTTGCCTTTTTCTTTTATAATTTCTTTGAAATATGATATCTAGGTTCTTTTTAAATTCATGGCTTTTTTAGTTGTTTTTCTGTTGTGTACAACTCTTGGCACCCCCATTTCCTTCTCCAACTCATTTAACAGACGAGGAATTACATCAAACCCAGTTAAGTGCCTTGCCCAGGGTCACATAGCTAGAAAGTGTCTGAGGGCCCAATTTGAACTAAGGAAGTCTTCCTGACTCGAGGCCCAGTACTCTATTCACTGTGCCACCTAGCTGCTTTAAATTCATGGCTTTAATGATTCTTAAATTATCTTTCTTTAATCTGTTTTCCAGATCAGTTGTTTTCTCTATAAACAATTTCACGCTTTTTTCAGTCTTTTGATTTTATTATTTTTCATGTCCCTTGAATGATTCCAATTAACTTTTATTCAGCTGATTTTAATTTTCAGAGTTTTTTTTCTTCAGTAAGGCTTTGCATCTCTTTTTACAAGCTGTTAATTCTCTTTTTATATCTTTCTTCCCTAGATCTTGCCACTCTTCCCATGCTTTCCTCTACTGCTTTCAGTTTTTAAAATCATTTTAAGCTCTTCTCTAACTCTTCCAGGAATTCTTGTTGGACCTGAGTACAAGCTGAATTTTTTTGTTTCATGTTTGATTCTCAATTTTTTCAAATCATATTCTTCTGTGTTTGCATCTTGAGCTTCTTTGTTGCCGTAATAGCTCCTTATGGTTTATAACTCTTTTTTTGTTTGTTTGCTCATTCTTCCAACCTATTTCTTGATTTTGGACTTTATGTTAACGCTGGACAGTTAAGGATGTTTGGCTAGTGCTTATGTTGTCTTGAATCCTTCTGTTGCTTTGACAGCCACAGCTGGGGACCTGTAAGCTTTCAGTGCCCCCTAAGTGTTGTGATTCCGTGGAAATTCTCTATATTGTCACCTTGGTCTGAGTTTTGCCAATTCCTGACCCAAGTTTAAGGAATGTATGTTCCTGATTATGAGTTTCAGCAGACTGTTGCTTGAATCAGTCTCTGTTAACACACTGGGAGGCTCAATCGTTCAGAGCAACTTTGCCTTGCTGAAGTGAAGGTCCAGTTGAGATTATATTACATAAATTTGTAGTGGATCAAGTCAGCTTACAGTTGTTAATCAGAAAACACACTACACTTCCTCCAGGAGAATCAGATCTGCAGACATCTAGATGTTCCAGCAATCCTTTCCTACAGGAGTGATTATAATATTATGAAAGTCATCCAAACTCAACATTACAGTGTAGGTAATCATTCACATTTATTCAGCTCATTCTTCACAACAACCCTGTGAGATCTCAATCCTTACTTTACAGATGAGGAAACGAGCTCGGTGAGGTCAGCGCGATGTGCTTGTCTGTGTGGGACTCCGACCCAGTTTTCCTGACTCCAGGTCCAACATTGTTCCCCCAACCTGCTGCCTCTCTAGAGTTTCCGTGCACAGGGCGTTGTGAAAAGTATCCTGCCAGCTACAAAATCCCAAACGTGGAGTAGAAATGTAGAAAAGGACGGAATCCCTGCTGAGGCTGTCTCTGCCCCTTTGTCTCCTTACTGAACTTCCCTACACTTTTGGTGGGTGTGCCAGGTCCTTGAACACAGACCAGACCCACTGCGGGTTGCTGTTTCCCCAGCGTTGGAATATCAGGAATGATTTCTGGGGAAAAAGAAAGGAGACAATTCTGGGGAAGGGCTGAATGTGAGGCAAAGCCTGCCACCCCGCCTGCCTCTACCTCCGTCGCCAGCAAATATTTCAAATGCTCGTTGACTAGGCGAGTTCAACTGTAGGACAGAGGGAGGCAGCGGGGATCTGATAGGGGTAGGGTGACGAGGTTCCTGCCAGGTTGATCTGTAGGCGGGCACGTGGAAAATCCACCTCTGCGGTGGATTCTTTGGGGGAAAGGAGGACGGAGCAAAGGGAGCTAGGAGCAGCCGCAGGCTCAATCTCGGTCATTTCAGTCTCTGCGTGCCAAGCTTTGACAGCTGATGCGAACCCCTCTCCCCGCCCCACACACACACGCTCCCAAAACTGCAAGCGCGAGCCGTGAGCCTTCCTGCCTTTGGAGCAACGGCCTCTTGGAGGACACAGGAGGGCAGCATCCCCAGCTCCTAGGAGGCAGGTGACCTGCGGCTTTGCGGGACGCCTCCCCTCATTTATTAACGGGATTCACACTCGCCTCGCGTTTTACCCCGTGATTTCTAGGAGGCTGCTCCTAGTGCATATTGTGCCCGACAGCCAAGGAGAAGGAGTAGGGGCTGCTGCTACCAGGTGATGAATTTCTTTGCAAGGTCATTGCTTTCAGTCTCCTGACTTATCACTGGCTTTGAAGGTAAGAAAGAGGGAACGTTCCGTCCCCTTTGTGCTCGGAGGAAATTTATATATACAGAGTGTGCCCGGGGGGGGGGGGGGGGAGGGAGAGTCTGTCTGTCTGTGTCTGTGCGCCTTCCCCTGCCTAGAATGACAGGTGTGTTGTTGCAATAGTGGAAAAACGAATGTGACTAATGGGATCTTTTTCTGCCTTTAAAGCAAATTAAGATTTGATGTTTTCCCTTGAGTCTGGGATTGTTAGGAGATTGGAAAGCTGTTCTGTAGCCAAACTTTGAAACCGCATTAAATCAGGGTGCTAAATACATGCTGTAAAATGTCCTTTGGAGAAGGATTTTTATAAAGCTCTTAAGAGAATTGTAAACCAAAACGTACAATCTCAGAGGCTGATTTTTTGTGCTCTCCGGGCCAATAAAGAAAATCCTAGGAAAACTGAGGCCTAATCAATGGACATTCAACAAATGAGAACTAACAGACCCTGGCATATTTATTATTATTACTACTACTATTATTATTATTATTACAAAACAGTTGCTAAAGGTTTTAAAGGACTTCAGGGGAGGTATCTGAAGAAGCGTGAACTTTTGGGGGTTTTGCTGTTCTAGGTTAGGGATATGAATTTCAAGAATTTATGGTGTGTAATGTGGAAAGGAAAAATACGACTGCAATGGGAGAAAGAAATAGAGTCTTGGAGTAGTTATTGATTCCAGAAACAGCACATTCTCCAATTTTTTTCTGTTCTAAAATCCCTTTACAGAATTGCAAATAATGCATTGACATATTTTGCAAAACATTTTTATAAGCACACTGCCCTTATTCTTATTTTTGTTTCAATGCTAGAAATTTGAGACATCGTGGGACTTAAAGAAACTGAAGTGTTTACATCTGCTAGAAAGATTTTGAGAAATGGTGTAGGAAAGACTTTACTCTTAACCTTAGGAAATACACATTGCTTCCATGAGCTTTTTGTGGTCACTTACACCTAGTTTTCTTCTTTTGCTATTTTGGAAATGGAGATACTGATATGTCAATACAAAGGAAAAAAACTGCTTTTAAAAAGGATTACTTTTTAAAATTTTTAAATCTTTATTGCCAGAAAGAGAGCTACTACAAATGTTTTAGAAATATATGTTGTTTTCCTTTTTCCCTAATCATCTTGGGAAACAGACCTAGTAGTAGTATCAATTGGGGAATGACTGAACAGGTTGTGGTGTAAGATTGTGATGGAATACTACTGTGCTATAAGAAACGATGAGCTCCATGATCTTAGAAAACCATGGCAAGACTTGCACAAAATAATGAAGAGCAAAATGAGCAGAACCAAGAGAATATTGCATACACTAACAGCAATGCTGTTATAACTCTGAGTGACTGAATCATTTGACTATTATAAACAGCCCAAATTAACTACAAAGTACATAGGAAGGAAGATGCTATCTGCATCCAGAGAAAGAACTGATAAATAGAAGTATGTATAGAATGATTTTACATATATATACATATTTGTGCCTAATGGTAGCCATCTCTAGGGTAGGGGCAGGAGGAAGGGGGAAGGGAAGAACAAAGAGGAAAAAGAAAGTTACACAATACCTTTATTATATATTTAAAAGGAATAGCAAGTTGTATATAATAGATTTGTAGTTTCCTATACAATCATCTTTTTTTCTATTCTATGTTATAGAAATGCTCGTTTTATTTCTTTAGTTTAGAATAAAATAAAAAAATTTAAATTTTAATCTGTATAAGACAGAAGTTTGTGTCTTAGAATACTCTCCAAATTGACTGTACAAAAAGAGTTTAGATGGTTTGGGGGTGTGATTGGTTTACTTTCTAACAATGAAGGCCAAAATAAAAACAATTATGGCTCCAAGTATTTAACTGTATAAATGGCTTTAAGATAAATAGATGAAAACAGGTGGAATCTATAGACATCATGTGTTTGGTCAATGTTCTTGTATTTTACTTTATTATTTAAAGGGAATATTTGGTAGGAGGAAAATACTTGTTAAGAAGGAAGTGGATTTTGGCTTGACATTACCTAAAGTCCAGGGGTGGGAACCTGTGGCCTCAAGGCCACATGTGGCCCTCTAGGTCCTCAAGTGTGGCCCTTTGACTGAATCCAAACTTCAAGTCAAACCCTTGACCTTACCACTATTATTATTAAAATTCTGAACGCAGAGGTTGTATGAAAACTAAAATGACATACACATGTAGGCTCTGAGCAGTTGAAGTAAAGAACTGAGGTAATTTTTTAAAAAATAATTCAAGCTAGGCAAACCACTCTTATTTCAGTTATCAGGTTTGGCTTTTTTTTTTTCATTTTCTGACAAGCTCATAATATGTTAAGTTGTTTTTAAAAAAATTTTCATAACACTTCTAAGATTTCCCCCCCACATTTTAGATTTGAAAATGTCAACAATGTATTTAATATAATTTAATTGAGAGGGAAAAAAACTCTGATTTCTGCCATTAGCTATATGATCTCGGGCAGGTCACTTAACTTTTCTGTTTCTGGACCAAATGAAGAGGCTGGTGATAGAGTTATTGCCCCTTTATTTTATCATCAATCGTACTCTGTCAGACCCCAGACTTTGCTACTACAATGTGCTGCTGAAAAACTGCACATGCAAAGAAGTAAAGGTGGGGGAAAAATCATAGAACCACGCTGACTGTGTCTACTATAAAATTATAAATTAACTCTTGATTGCTAGACATTCTAGAGTTTATTTAGCAACTTATTCCACTCTTCACAACAGTTCTTCCAAACTTTGTCATTCCTCCTGAAACTCTGAGTATTCTCCCCTCTCCACCTTCTAAATTGAGAAATTTGCGTCATTTTACTGAAAAATTGAGGCTATTTGCTAAGAACCCTCTCTTTTCCCTTCCACTTCAGCTTCATTCTCAAAGATAATTTTAAAGTAGCTTCATACTTCTAAATTCTGTGGCAAGTATGTTTTGGTATTTGTATCCCTCTGTATCTATTAGAGCTTTCTATCAGAGAAATTACAGCCTAGTAGATAAGCCAATAAAGTCCAGGTTAGGATAGCAGATTTCAGCCCTAGTTTACATTTAAGTTATATCTCTCCATATAAAGTGAGGCAAAGCAAATTCTCTGACTAATTTGAACAGTAAGTAGCTAACCTGGATAATTTATTTTGAGTATATAATTATCTTTTTTATCTATTTCATTTGCTGCAGTGAGACTCATCGCCCACTAGGTGGCTGGCCACTAGGTGCTGTACTCTTTAGTCTTGGAAGCCCATGAAACTAACTAACACTGGCAAATGCTGCTACCCAGGTGTTGCTGCCTTGAAGCAAGTCACTCAATGTGTCTGTAACGTGTTCTCTTCATCTGTAAAATGTCTCCTACCACGAGGAATGTTGTGAGAATAAATATGAGAATGTGAAATTTGAACTTTAAATAAATCCACGGCTCTTGGATTATTATAATTAGTCCGCATGAGTTTACAAAGATGTGCCTTCCCAAAAAAAAAGTATATTTCTAGCATTTAATAATTGTGCATATTTTTCAATGTTCAGAAGCATGGCAACTGAATGAAAACAAATGAAAACTGAGGTTAACTCAGGAATAGTGTAGCTAAATGCAAATTTCAAAAGGAAATTGAGGGATGGTGCAGTAGATAGAGCACTGGCCCTGAAGTCAGGAGGACCTGAGTTCAAATTTGGCCTCAGACCAAACACTTGACACTTACTAGCTGTGTAACCCAGGGCAAGTCACTTAACCTCAATTGACTTAAATAAATAAACAAACAAATAAATAGATAGATAGATAGATAGATAGATAGATAGATAAATGCAAAAGGAAATTGAAAACTAAGACTGAGAGGAAATGTTTAGGACAGTCCAACATGAATGATCATGTTGATCATTGATCATCACGTGCTTAATGAACACTGTACTGACCACTCGATCTTAGAATTTGTGATATAGAAGGAAAACAAACTGAGAATAGTATGACAGTCATCCTTGAAAGAGCAGATTCTAAAGGGTTCATAGGAAGGGCATAGGTAAGGTCATTGGGAAGGAGGAACAGGAGCCTTTTACCCGACCACTCACCTTCCATTTCATACTTTGCTTGTCTCCAGCCTCTGCTAAAAAGAAGGAAAGGCATCTTTCATTTAATGATTAACAAATTTCCTGCACATTGATTCTGAAATCCATCAGTCATATTCCAAACTCTATTCTCCATCCCCACTCCCCAGTTCTTTATTCTTATCCCCCTCAACCCACCCACCCAAAAGTTCCAACTAAATACTACCCATTCCTTCCACTGTGCCCTCTGGAATGCCTACTCCTTAGGCAATAAAAAACTCATTTTCACCTTTCATCTTTTCTTTTCTCACTCTTGTTAGGACCCCTATGCCAAGACCACCCCTCTCTTTTCACTAATATCTTTTTACTCTTTGGAGACGCCCTGTTTTCAAGAGCTAAGGCCCAGAAAGCAAGCTGTGCCTTGAGCTTAGGTTAACCACAATCCTTTGCCTCACCCTCTGGATGAACTCTGCTACACCAAAATCACAGAATTGTTTCACACCTACCTCAGGTGGTCCCTGAGCTTAGAAGAATACTTGCAGGAACCACATTCCAGTCATGAAGCTTGGCCGTGAATAGATTTTTTTCACTAGGCAAATTTTCCTCATTGTTGTTCCCTCACTGCCTGGCTCTCATATAGCCACGACTATATGTATCAAGACTTAGCCTCCCTGCTTTGGGTCTGCTGGGTCCTAGAACAGACCTTGGCATGTGTGTCTAGTTTCTCTCTCCAACAGAATAAAGAATGGTTTTCTGGCTTATAACAACTGTTAGCTCTTTGGTTTTGTTTTATTTTTCAGAGTTTAATATTGGTGTATAACTTCTGTGAGCTCTTTTGTATTTTCAGAGTTAAGAAGGGTTGCATAATCTCTGTGGCTCTTGGATCATTTATTTTCTGTTTGACAGCTGGTGTCAGAAGTGGGATCAGAAAAAGTTAATTCCTCCTGCCTC